TGTTGTTTCCTGTTAGTTTAACATTTATTTATTTCTGTTTCAGATGGAGCTGCAGAGGAAGCTGGGTTGATGGTAGGAGACTATGTCCTAGCTGTCAATGGTATTGATGTCACCAGCATTCCTCATTCTGAAGCTGCTGATTTAGCCAGACAAGGTGTGTTGTGCTATAAACAATAAAGCACATTTGTGGAATGGATTCATAAAGAACCAATATGGAGGCCAGAAGGCTAAATTAGATGGTAACTGTGATATTGTTGATATTATAGGTCCAGATGTTCTGACATTGACTGTTGGTTCAGACATTGCTCGTGGTCCTAACGCACCGAGACCAGCCTGTCGTGGTTACCTTCATAAGCGTACTCAGTCTGGTCTGATTAAAGGATGGAGAAAGAGGTGGTTTGTACTGACGCATGACTGCTGCCTTTACTACTACAGACACAAACGGGTAAGCATGATACAGGTCATCAAAATCAAACAGTCCACAAAGAAATTTTTGTGTACTTTTGGCGCTACTTCATGGTCATTACAGGATGAAGGCAAAAGGCAGGCACTTTCAGCAATAAAGATGGAAGGGGCTGAGGTGGGACCAGACACTTCACTTGGAAAACCATTTGTGTTTAAGTGTCATCCTCAGTCTGGTTTTCGAGTTTACTTCTTCTGCGCCACTTCCAACCAGGAAATGAAAAGGTAGAATGACAGATATAACTTTCCAAACCAAACATATTTAAAATATTTTTACGTACCATTTTCTTTTTCTGTATTCTGAATTCTAATTGCGGTTCTTTAAACTGCAGTCTATATTCTTTATTTCTTCAAAAAGCGAAAGAGAGAAATTGAAATAAAAACCATGTTTAAAATCTTATTTGTCTTGTTGGATTCCAGATGGCTGGAAGCAATGGAGAAATCTACCCATACCATTACACAAGTAAGTTCTATATTTTCATAAATCAAAGAGGGCTTGTTACAGAAAATGTTCATTTAATTGCATATAACATTTACCTCAGATTGGAGTAAATAGGTCATGTTGTTGATTGTGGTGGCTTACTACCAGTTTAAGCTTAAACTGATCTCAAATAACTCTTATGTTTTAGAACCATGTTTGGGTGGATGTCACTAAACACAACTCTAATCTGCCCCCGCTGGCTGTAAAAAATCCAGACTGTCTTGGATTGCTTCATAAAATGGATAAAAGCAAGGATTCCTGGGTACAGCACTACTGCATTCTGAAGGATGGGTGCCTCTACTTGTACAGTGGCATCCGTGCAACTCACGCACAAGGTACAGCTCTACATCATGTTTTAAACACTGACATGGAACATAGCAGTGGCAGTTCCAGAATTATAGGAAGGGAAAAATATTTCTGAGAAAAATAATGACAGAACTGGTGTTTTATTGATTTTTTTTTTTCCTAGCATTTGGCAGGTGGTACTGTGATGTCTGTCTTTGGTGACAGGGGTTGCTGCAGCACCCGCAGCACCCCTGCTTCCCACAGCCTTTGACAGTTCTGTTAAAATGTTTAATGTTGATGAAAAAAGGCTGCAAAAAAATTGACTGTAATTATAAAAACTATTTGATGTCATATAAATGTCACAAGCAGAAAATGCCAGAAAGTACCAGTGCTGGGCTCTCAACAACAAAACTGAAGTTTGCAATAAGATGTTAACAATCAGTAAAAATTAAGGGTGTACTATCAACTATATCATTTTCAAAGTCAAGATTCCAGAGTTTAAGCTGGTC